GGACGCTGCGCTCCTCGCAGGGTCACTTTGTCCCCAACCATCCCCGTTTGCCTCCGGGGCCCCGGCGGGCGGCGAGGCCCAACCAGTTCTCCCGCTCCCCGGACGCGCGGGGCGGCACGAGGCCGCCCGTCCCCAGCCAACGAGGAGGCCGGGTCAGGCTCCGACACGTTCTCAGCACAAAAAGGGAGTTTTCTGAACGTATTATTTTTAGCCGCGTTGTTACGGCGTTTCAAAAGCAAATACACCCCGAGAGCTGATCCGCTGGCTTGTTGCCTCTGTGCAGACGTATTTAAAACCCCTCTTTCTGCTGCGTGTGGCTTTAGCAGCACAAACGTCAGATATTGAGGAGAAAGTTTAACCACGCCTGACCGTAAACACACGCAAAGCCAGCTCTGGGGATCTTCTACCCGCCCCGGCCGTCGGACGCCAGGCGCTGGTGCTCTCTCCCAAGAGCCTAACAGAGGGCGGGTGGATCATTCACCGTTCCAGAATTAAAATTAATTGCACATATTTGCAATTTCACTCAGTTCTGCCTCAAGTTGAACCGCCCCCATTTTCTCCCAGCATCTCTCCCAGCTCCTGTCCCCACGCTACCAACCGCCTGGCCTGGACCCAGGGGTGGCCCTGGGTGCACATCTGCCCATGCACCCAAACACTTTTTTTTTTTTTTTTTTTTTTTTCCCCCCCCCAAACCAGCCAGCTCCAAATGGGGGGAGGCAAGGTGTCCTACCTGGCCACGTGCCAAACTCTCCCCAAAACACCCAGAAATGGGTCCTGGGGGACAAAGCTGAACCACAGCCCAGCAGCACCCACACATGGAGGAAGCACCGGCGCTGGGAAAGGCGGGAAGGGCGCCCGACACATACCGGGAAGGACGTTAATTGCGATAACGAACCAAAAAGGAGTAAGTGGCAGCTGCACGCGGCGACGGGACGTCTCCGGACTCCGGAGCTGAGCCTGGACATCCTGCTCTGCCCTCCGATCGCTGCACCCCGCCTTGAAAACGGGCTGATTTGGGCCTTCGTTGTGCTGCAGCCTCAAAGCCAAAACCCATCAGGAGAAGGGCGACAAGTCCAAGCAGACCTGATCATTTTGGCAAAGCACAGCGCGAGGAGGGGCCCAGCTCCCGGGGCAGTGGAGGGACCACGGCCTCCGGGGGATGGCCCTGGGGAGGGACACGGGCACTCTGGGGACGGGGGGTGTCGGCGCGGCACGCGGAGCTGAGCCCAGAAGGATGGGTCAGGATCACCTGGAGACAAAGGGTGGGGAAAGGAATAAAAAATTAAAAAAAAAATACACCCCCACCTCCACCAGAATCAAGGCTTTACCGAGGGTCTTTAATAACTCTAAACTTTTTTTTAATGAGGAACACCCAGCTTCTATCACTGCTCCAGGGCCGAGGTGTCCTGCAGCTCTCACCCAAATATGGCCCCGACGCCCAGCCCAGAACATCGTGTGAGATCTCCTTTTTTCCCCTCCTCTAGCCCCATGGGTTTGACGTGAACCGGTCCCACCCGAGACAAGATTTAAACACGACCAGCAAGCATGTGTGAGGGTCTGGGTAGGCGCACCCCGGCATCCCACCTGGGGGCTGCAGAGGACCTGTCCCTGCTGCCACCGACACTATGGGGACAGCCAGGTGCTTTTGGGGACCCCCAGCAGATTGGGGGGGGCAGAGCGGGAGATCCTGGTCCCACCTGCACAAGTGAGCCCCATCCCAACCCCACCACCATGGAGGAAACCCCCAGCGACGCAGCGGTGGGTCCAACCTTCGCAGCTCACCAGCTCCAGGAGGCCAAGGAAAACGAATAGCATAGCATAGAAAAAGCAGAAATATTTTAGCAAGGGGTTATTTTAGCAAGAGTCGGGCCTCCGAGCCACCAACCAGCCCTTCTCCCTTTAATGTCACACAGCATTAAAGAGTCAGATTAGAAAATACAGAGAAAACCCCACAAATAACAAGCTGGCTGCTTCATTTATGGGGGAAAAGAAATAAATACTCGTTCTGGGGTGGTATTGGGTTGACCTGATATAAAAAAGAGGGGTGCTGCCTCTGTGGGTTTTCCCCAGCAGCTGTGGATGCAGATGGTCTCATTTCTCCTTTTTCCTTCTACTACAGCAGCGCCTGTATTTCCCCTGAACTTTACAATTCCTGTTCTTTCACAAGAGTATTTATAGCAAAAGAGCAAAGTGCAAACAGAACTGCTCGAGCTTTTGCACGCCTCCGTATATTGCGTTTAAAAAATAAAGGGTTTACTAAAACTCTACCCCTTAAATGCCGTCAGAAGCAGGCAGTTGCGTGGTGCTGAGTCAGCTGAGGATCTCGGGTCTCCTACCTAAAACTGCAAAAGCACCTGAAAAAAAAAAAAACAAACCTGCCGTGGTGTTTTTTTAATCCTCCGTCTCTGACCACCGACGCGCTCATGGCCACCTACAATCAAACCTTTTGTTCTCTGGATGTGTAAGCAAGCGTGAAACAGATGCTGGCATAAATCTTGCCCCAGCGCCGCAAGGATGTCAAAATTGCAGGGAAAAAAAAAAGTTGAAAAATAGATGTAACCCGGCCGCAGGGCTGGGACAGAGCCACGGCCACAGCACGGGTGCACTCAGCATCGGCTTGACAAACACGGGGGGGGCGGTTGGTGGGAGAGGAGCGATGGAGTGAGCCCCAGGAACGTGCCAGAAGGTCTTTAGGAGAAAATACAGAGTTCAGCACAGCTACGGACACGGCCTGACGGGTGGGGCTGACGGGGGGCGGCCACGCTCCGGCGCGGGGCAGGGGGCCAGTTTATTTAAGGGCCCGACCCCACCAGCACCTCTGCAGCCACACAGCTGAGCTTTTTTTTTTTTTTGAGGGTGGGGAGCGCTAATAAAATAAAAATGCAGATTGCTACAGGGACAACAGATTGATAGAACACTATTCAGGCCGCAACAGGTTATTCACCCTCCCCACACACCTGCCTGCACAGCCGGAGTTCTCTCAGCACTTACAGTCTCGCACGCCCAAACTAAGTTAATTATTTTTTAACAAGATGTGCTATAAAATCCCAGAATCTCGGTTGGAAAAGCCCTTGGAGTTCCTCCAGTCCAACCACGAACCTCACCCTGACCGTTCCCAACTTCCCCAGATCCCTCAGCGCTGGGTCAACCCAAATGATAGACACCAACACAGAGAAAAAAAAAAAAAAAAAAAAAAAAAGTTAGGGTGGATCTACGTTACTGCTTTTTTAAACCGTCACTAGAAAAATACTCTAATTATAAAAATAATTTGCATGTAAGCACAGAACAAACAGTACAATCTTCCGTCAGTCTTGTGTGTCTATTTTTGAACTGTTTGTTAAACAAACACGTAATGTCTCAATGTATACCGATAGTGTGCGTCTCGTTTAATATAGAAATGGCAAATATGCAATGTAAGACAGTAAATTACAAGCGGTTAATTAATTCTGTAAATACCATTGCAGAAATGCACGGTTCTGGCAGATGGCAACTTCAACCTCTGAACCACCAGCTACAGGGAAAGGCATGTGCTGCCAGCTGAAGTCAGTACTATCGTCCATCTCGTCAAAGTTTTCTGTTAATATGCAATGTTTGTATAAATATACTATTAAAGTTTTTATATATATATACACATACCCACACACACACACACAGAGAAAGACTTTTTTTTATTATGTATATATAAAATCACTTACTTGATGGAAAGGCCCTCCAATTAATATCTGCATAACCACAATCTGGATATAATTTGGCATTTTTCCCCTTTAAAAATTAATTTTAAAAAGAGCCCAATTCTGACTCCCTGCACAAAACAGAACTGGGACCTCGAGGGACAGAACCATGCCTCCAGCTCCACACAAAGCCAGGGCAGTACTAGCTTGCAGCTTTCGATTCTTTTTTTAGACTAACACAGATTTTTAATTAAGGAAGAAAACGTAGAGGAGCAGAATCAAAGCTGAAAACTCAGCTCTTTCAAATCTTAAAAAGCAGGAAGATCAGTCTGCAGATCTCTGATTCTTAACGCTTCAGGTTTTAAACTTAAAACTAGCCCTGGCAGGAGAAGCCAGCACAAGGAAGGCTGCAGGCACGGCTCCCTGGAGCTCACCAGCAGTTGCTACAATCATTTTTTTCAAGGTAGCTTTTGGTAGATAATGCACTTCTAAATGTGTCTGTGCATAAACACACGCTACCAACACAGGTACACCCCCCCTCAACACGTAATTAAAAAAAAAAAAAATGTAAACCCAGTGATGTTTGATCAGGTTTCTACACCTTTGCCTCTGCTCTGTCAGCGAAGCTCAGGCAACTTTGGTCTTGTTTGTGTAAGTTGAAAAGCAAAATCGGGGCCACGCTCCGGCGGAGGATGAGAGCCCCGGCTCGCCCTGCCCGTCCCACCGCGGCGACGCCGGCGCAGCGCCCGCGGGCTGGACGAAGACCCCATTCCCCTGGGCAAGAAAGAAGTTAATTCAGTTTGAAAACCTCGCTTCCTAATAAAGATAGGGAACAGAATAAGTGCTTGAGAAAGCTTAAGAAATCGTTTATACGCTCGGTGACGGAACGGCCGCTCTGGCGCAGCTACTAGCGGGTACCTTACGAGTATTTGCCTACGTGCCCGCCGGTGGCTGGCTTTGCCCGGGAGGGCTGTGGAGGAGCTGCTGCTCTCCTACAACAGAATGCAGGTCTTCTTGTCCTTGAAAGGGTTCTCAGAAGCGGGTATGCCCATTAGCAACGGATCTTTCTTGGCGTGCTCTTCACAGTAGAGCATTAGGTCTGCTGATGCTTTTGACACCTGCAGAAGACAGGGATAAAGAAACCCGTAAGACGGTATTTCCAAACCAATAGGATGATGCTTTTGTCTCATGATATTTCCAATTATCCATAATCTTGTGCAAAACACAAAAGGAATGCACATAAAAATAACTGAAATCTGGCACTTCGTTCATGAGCGTTCCTAACGCTAAATAGCGTGAGCATCTAAAAGGCTTCTCTGAAAAGAACTTTTCTCTAAAAGAAAGAGAAAAATACTTGCAAATTTATGTGGGGGAACTTTTGTGGAGATACGTGTAATGTTTCAGCTTAATCCTACCCTCTTTTCCACCTGATTCTGACGGTTGTACACTACAAAGCAGAGAGAAACTTGTCCTGCCTGACTCAGGTCAGGTTCCTTGAACACGGCTGAGAGCTGCCGACGGGTACAAAGTCCCTGTGTGGGACAGGATCGGTGCTCAGAGATCAACACGCTCCCCGGGGCCCCGTCTCCTGCCGAGGACGCGCTGCCAGGGGCTCACTCGGGCTTTATCTACAGCAGGGAGACAAGAAGGGACCCCGGCGCTCTCGGGGTTAGTCTGTGACAGGCAAAAGTACCGCCCGGCTCCCACACGGCTTCTACGGAAGACTAAAAATAAACAGGAGAAGGTTCAAAATAATACAGTCGGTTCGTAACGAGGAACTCCTCAGCTATAAAGCTGGGAACAGTAAACAGAAGTGTCCTCAGGTGACACTCTGGGGAAGGCTGCCCGGGGTCGCCGTGCCTGAGCCCGTCACCCAAGGACGGGCCCCGCTGCTCCGCGGGACTGGGTGTTTGTTCTCTGGCCCTCAGAAGGGCTGGGCAGCCATCCCAGGAGCACCAGGCAGTGTTACTACTCTGAGCAGTATCCTCTCCCTGCTAGGTGGAAAAAAAGTTTGGTTTCTTTTCTGCCTTAAAGAAATCCAGTTTCCACAATCTTTGGTTGTGTTTTTTGGGTTTATTTTTTTTAACTAACGTCCCTACACATTCACCTTCCTTGCAGGTGTAGCATTCAGCCAGCCAAAAGATGGAAAAAAAAAAAAAAAAAAAAAAAAAAAAAAAAAAATCACGCAATATGCATGAAACTGGGAATGTGTACCTGCCTTCTGTTTCACACGCTGCATTTGCACTTTGTACTTCGCTTTGGTTCTCCTGCAGGTCTCTAAAGCACCTGAGGATACTGCTGGGAAGCAGCCACGAGAATTAGTTTTATTCAGATTTGCTGGGCTGCAATGAAGATGTCATGTTCTGAGAGGGGGAAAACTCTGAATTGGGGGCACACACACACGCTCTCTGTTACCGTACCGCCCTACCGCTGGAAGGGGGGAAAAAAAACAAGAAAAAAAAAGAAGGGGTGAAGGAGGATGGGCTCTCACCTTAATTCTTTCTATTGAGGCTTCTATTCTTAACTGCTGGACAGTCCTTCGGGCCTGAGCTATGTTGTTGGTCGTGCCAGCTGTTTTGCCAGACATTTTCAGTGAAGCGGTGAAGTCCTGTTTGGAAAGACCGTGGGTTAGTTTTCCAGAAGGTGACACTGCAACTTTAAACTGCTTTTACACAGAGAGGCAATCGCAACCTGCTGCAAAAAGTGCTTTTTTTTTTTTTTTTCTTTCTTTTAAAATTATTATTTTGCACAAGGGGCGTTGTCAGCTGAGAAGCAGCTCAGCAAACGATGCACTGCAACTGAAACACCCTCCAGAAAAAAAAAAATGCGTCGAGCTCTGGAACATCCTGTTGCTTCACTTGTCCCCGCGTTAACAGGGTTTATCGACTGGTGCTTTTCTCAAGGCTGCCGTTTGCACAGGGTCAGTCCCTGCGTCCGCTGCTGCAGGATGGATCCTGCTGCAAGGGAGAGCTGGGGATGAAGAACGTGCCCTCCTCTCCCTCTCGCAGGAGGAGGGCGGCTTCACGGCTGTCACTGTGCCTCCGCCGAGCCCGCTGCAGCGAGGACGGGCAGAGCCATGGGCACATCCCCGGCCGGGCTGTTTCAGGTCTGCAGTGGCCCCATGACACGTCAGAGGACACGAAAAACAAGGTGGTGAGGTTCAGAGGCGTGCTCCTGGCTGCTGTCTGCTCCCATGTGGCCATATATGTGGGGGTGGCAGAAAAAAAAAAAAAAAAAAAAAAAAAAAAAAAAAAAAAAAAAAGACAACGAGCAGCTCTGGGATTTCCTTCTCCGGGTAAGAGTGCGGAGCATCGCTCCCGACACAACCTCTGCCCACGGAGAAGGGGGGATGCTCTGCGCCGGGCTCGCCGGGCGATCCAAGCACAGGTTTTGCAGCTTGACCCCCCGTTTGTAGCTAACCAGGGGATGGCCACAAGCAGCGTGAGGCTTACGGGAGAGCCCAGCCCGTGCCAGGGGGCCACACGCTTCTGGGCGAGCTGGACCAAAAAAAGAAGAGATGCTCCCAACCCCAGCAATGGCCCAGGACCGTACCCTGACAAGGCAGGCAGCCCGCGTGCCAGCTCTGGCCCAAGGCCAGGTCAGAGGGGCACCGGTAGCAGTTCAGGGGGGGTTTTGCTGGCGCTGCTGTCCCTGAGCAGCTTTGCTGCAGGGACTTTGCGACAAACACCCGGACGAGGTTTATCCATCACGATCACCAAAGTACGCGGGAAGGCAGCGCTCCACGGGCGCTTACACCACTCGGGATGTAGAGGTTTTAACCTCCTGGGGATCCCAGAAAACCTCGAGCCCGCCCTGGACTTGCTGGACCACCATGAGTTGTCCACACCGAAGGCCACCTCGCCCCATCTCCCTGCAGCACAACTCCTGCTGCGTGGCCCCGGCATCCCCGGCCAGTTTCCATCCCACGCAGCCGCTGGTGCTGGAAGGAAAGAACCGTGCAGGGAGCAGGGAAGGGCTGAGGACCATGCAGCATCATGTTCAAAAGAATATCCCTACAGGCATCGCAGCAACAAAGAGCTTGCTGCTAAATTATTCAGATACCCGGGAGTTCAAAGAGCAGCTGGTGTAGGACAGCCCTCGCCTGTGAAAGCGTCCTTCCCGTGCCGATCCTTGCAGGACCGTGCACAAACCCCGCCGTTTGTTCTCTGCGGATCCACAAGACCTGGCGCCCCGTGGCTGTGCTGAAATCACTCGCTGCACTGCAGGGGCTCGAGCCCAACGCCGCCGCACGCGACCTTTCCAAGCACCACACGCAGCCTCTCCTTCGGGGCTTCAGGGCTGCTCTTCCAGCCAGTGCACGTGCCTGCTTGCTGGGAACAGCGTTAGTTTGCACCGAGTCCCCGTTTCGACACGCGGCACCTTTTGCAGGCTGAAAATTTTCAAATTCAGATTTTCATTTTCTCTCCCTCTGCAGACACCAGGCCTGGGTTTGAAGCTCCCCCCGCGGTGTGTGTGTGTCAGGCCGACGCGGCCCACGCTGGCGACCAGCACCCGCGGTAGGTGTGGGATGCCCACCAAACGCTGTCAAACCCCCCCAGTTCTCCTCCCACAGCCGGCAGCGAGCCGCGACGACGAGCGGTGCGGGGATGGTGCCGGAGCTGGGGAGCTGCCTGCAGCTTCCTTACAACAGCTTTGGGCAGAGTAATTGCCAAGCGGCAGGTAGCGCCGCCTGCTCACACACGGGTAGGGGGGACATCCATAATTCACATCAGGTGTCACTAAAAACTTATTCCCTGAAAAAAAAAATAAAAAATTAAGAACGTACTCATCAATTCTCCAACTTGCATGGATTGAAGTGGCCATATAACAGCCCCTATTTAGCTCGCCGGCCTACTTTCCAAATAACTCCTCATGAGGAGGAGGAGACGACAAGCACAAAACCCAGGACTAGTTTAAATGCTGCATATGCTCCAAATGACCGATTTCAAGGCAAATCACAGAAGGTCTTTTGTAATTTTAGAACATTTAAACGCGTGCCAGTTTAGAGAGCGCAGCTCTGAGCCTGCGCCCTGCAGCCGGCCAGTCACTGGCCATCTCAGGGCCATGCTGCATCTGAGGCGTGTTACCTCCCACTCCGCCAAATATTTCCACCCAGGGTGTCTGTGTGCAGCTACCGCGAGTAAAGCTGTGGCAAAGTTGAGGAAATCTGAGCAGAGCAGACGCCCGTGACACAGAGGCCGGGGAAGCCGGGCTGGCAGCACATGCTGCCGGCTGACTCACTCCGGCTGTGCGTTGTAAACTGGGGTTGTTTCACCTTCACAACAGCCAGGCCAGCAAGCCAAGCCTCAGTCCGTGACAGTCATCTGCTGCCCCAGACTGCCAGGAGCTCCTCAACGCCCCAAAACTTCCCCAAAGTTCCTGCCGTGCTCCAGAGAGGTCACCTACGGACTGAGCTGCATGTGATTCACTGTGGAATGTAATTCATGCAAAAATTTTCAAAAGCCAACAGGATTTTTCCCCTCGAAGCGGCGTTCCCTCCGTGGCACTGTCTTAACCGAAGACACACACACGCATTCCCCGCTTGGCACCTCCTGCCCGCGGCCCCATGGTGCTGCATGCAGAGCAGCACGAAGGAAGCGAGCCGCGCTGTCTGCACGAACGCAGCTCACCCTCCAGCCCCGTGAGCCTCTTCCAGCCCTCGTTTAATCCACGCGCAGCGAGGCAGGAGGTGGCAAATCCAAACCACGAGTCAGCGCCGGGCAGCTGAGAGGCGGCCGTGACCACGCAGGGCCAGGCAGCACCAGGACAGAGACCCCCCCTGCTCCCAGGAATGGGCACTGGTTTTGCCAGACTGGGGCCGCCATCTCCCAGCACCCGTCGGTGACTTACTCAGCCCGGCCACGGAGTTTGGGGAGTGTTGTTTGCTCTAGGGAGGTGTGACGTCTTTGCGTGCTTCGGCTGTGAGGAGGAGAGTTAAGCAGTCTGAAATACCCTCCGTATCAACATCACGACACAAACTCGCACTTACTAACCCAGAGCCACCACGTTACAGTGGAGTTACAGCTAATCACGGAGCTGCAACACCCCGCAGCGACTGCACCGCGTCTGCATCCTCAATTACTAATATTACCCAAATATTTAAATGCATTTTGATGGCATATTTAGTGATTCAATCTGCAAGTTACTCAAGAGGAAGAGGAATGCAGCATAAACACCATTGGAAACAGCTGTAGATCTATTTGTAAAGGTTTAAGACTCGGACGTTTTGCTTTGTTGCTGGGAAAAGGCAAGCGACTGCTTCTCATTGTAAGCGATGATGGGAGGTGGATGCCATATTATTTGTAAAATACAAAGTGAGAACTCTCTGGAATTCAAGGCAAAGGCTGTGGTGCATTAACCACCTCTGACAGAAGCCCTGCAGTGCCGTGACTCAGACAAGAAGCCTCTTCCATTTCAAGGCAATGACGGCCAACGCAACGTTGGGGAGGCTGGCAGCACGCTGGGCAGCACGGGAAGGCACTGCCTGCTTCACCACAGGCACAAAAGCAGAATTTTAGAGAGTCGGGAGAATTACCTCGCATCGCCTGGGCCGTGATTTAACTGATGTGAATTGGCGGGGTCAGGACCACATCCAGGGCTTGGTGCCACAGCGCGGGTGGAATACGATGGCCGTGGGGGAGCCCCCATCTCCCCCTGACCTCTAGCAGCGAGAAGGACAAAGCCTGAGTTCCTGTGACAGCAGCACCCGAGCCAGAGCAAGCCCAAGCTCCACTGGTAAACCCACCCCACGATTTTGCCGTGCCGTTGGCCAAGCAAAGGGCGCCAGGAGACCTGCCCGTCTCGGCTGCCCAAGGAGCTGTGGCCTGGGAGCTGACGGATAACACAAGCAGGCTGCGCCCCGCAGCGCCCTGTGCTGTTTAAAACAGCATTTAGAAACGTAACAGGAGTCTTCTGTTACTAGACTGGGGGCATTTAACCTGATAATTTGAGGAATTTAATTATTGAAAAGCTAATTGTTAAGCTAGAGCTCTTAGCAAGGAAGTTTAAAAGGACACAGATCTTGCGGGTTTTCTTCAATGCTTCCTGCCTTTGCTGGTGTGCCATGAGAAGTGGGCAGAGGACCGGCTGCTCTGCTGCCACAGCCCCCTTCCAACGCACAAAAATGGGCCCTATCCTGCCCAAAGTCATTAATACATTCAGGCCCGAGTTTTGAGACTCCTACCCACTGAAAATAATTACTTGCCATGGGAAACTACCAGACCGAGGGCTTTTCTGGATCTGGGTTTCATCACTTATTCATGCCTAGGAGCCCGGAGCAAGGTATGGCTCACCAAAACCATCAGCAACCCTTCCCCGGGCCCAAGGCGAGGTGCTGATGACATGTCTGGAGGATGTTCTTGCTATGAGGTTTTCATTTCTAGAAGAAGTCCTCCTGCACCAGCGGCAGTCGGGGAAAATAACCCTGCTCCGGACGGAGAGCGAGTCCACAGGCACCAAGTGGGAGATGTGCAAATACAAAATGATGTCTTGGCTACGTGGAACTGAAATGGTAGAAAAGGAACTTAGAAGGAATTTCTCATGCTTAGGTAGTACTGTTAAGATGATATATATGAAACTATTGGCTACTTTGGGAAAATTGCTCTGCAGAGAACACGGTGAGAAATCAGACAACCCCACCTTCTGGGGGTTTTGGTTTTGACTAGAAGAAAGCCACAGGATCAGGGCATCGCGTTCAAGTATTGCCCAGAAGGACCCACAGAAGATGATCACAGCTGCAAAAGCTTCCCCGTACGCTCATGAGCTCATGAAAAATGAGACTCCCAACCAAGAACCTCCAACACGCACAGTTAGAGCTGATAAATGCAGCTGCTGAATTTGATAATGAACTCTGCTGGTGCGTTGCAAACCGACAGCGAGTGCTTTAAAATAATCATTTTTGGAATAACAAGGAGCCGCTTCACACGGACACGAAAGCACAGATCCACCACAAACTGAGCCCAAGCTCCCATTCCAGACCCTGAAGTTTTCACTCCATATATCGAAAAACTACAGTGTGAGAAAAAACACCCAACCAACCGACCAACCCAAAGCAACTTATTTTTATAAAGCAATGCATGCATCTCTGATGCAACGTTTGCTGATTCCTCTAATTTTAGTACTTTTTTAAAGAAAAAAAAAAAAGACATAAGGTTAAAAAACAGTTACTGAAAAATTAAGATACAAACCATTCTCCTCTCGTTTTG